GCTGTATAATGGGTAGAGATCGCATGTCAGCAAGGACCACACATAGTAAGTACTACCATGTGATATGATGATTTAGAGAGAATGTTGGATTTCCCCATGCCTGTGGGGCATCCAACAAAAGCTTGGCTTCCCTCTTGCTTGCTTCCACAGCCTCTCCCCACGGTGTGCCCCATGGGGCTTGCATGACCTGGTTTCTGTGAATTCTAGGTCAGTTCCAAAGTTCATGAAGAGGATGAAAGTTCCTGATTACAAAGACAAGGCTGTCTTTGGTGTTCCTCTTATAGTCCACGTCCAGAGAACAGGACAGCCCCTGCCTCAGAGCATTCAGCAAGCACTGAGATATCTACGTAGCAACTGCCTTGATCAGGTATGGCTATGAATCTCAAACACAGGCTTGGATTGATGGAAGACCAGACTGAGTCCAATCTGTCTCTTCTCAGGCAAGATGTGCCTCACCAAAAATAAAAGACACTGTGATCTTGTTATGTCAATGTTTATTTGACCAGGCTATATCTTTGTCAAACTATCTGAAGATGTTTCCTCATTGACAACGTGGAAGACACTCCAGAGTGACTGCAGAAAGTCATTGTTAATAGTTTGTACCTGTGATGTCTCATTTGCCTTCCCTAGAAACTAGGAATTAAGCTATATACTGCATTTTATTTTTAATTATTGTCCCAATCCCACCATTGATTTCACAGATTCTTTTATTCTTGTTATTTTATTTCAGAATAAAAGAATTAGGTCTTTATGCCTTTTTTTTTCTTTTCTCTTTTCTTTCTTTTTTTAATTTTTTTAAAATTTTTATCTTGAGGCATGTGCACTTGTTGAACAGAGACAGAGGGAAAGTGAGAAATCTCCCCCAGGAGGATGACTACTCCACAGTCTTTTCTCCTTCATCCTCCTTTTGGGATTTGGGGTTTGAGGTTTGGGGCATGCTCACACACACACCTAGCATGATTTTCAAGGCGCCAAGTCCAGGGCTCAAACCACCGTCGACCATGTAGGAGTCCAGCACCATAGCCACTATGCTACTTATTGGGCCTTTATGTCTCCCTTTTTTAATTCCTTTTTTAATTGAAGCAGCCTGCTTGACTAGGGAAACTTAAACTAAAGATAGCTTTAGCTACATCTTTTGAAATATGCAAGTAAAACTTTAAAAGACTATCAGCTAAACCAAATACCTCATTTTATAAAGTTGATTAAAAAGTTCAAGCTAAACAAAATATTTAGAGATCATTTTCTATCCCCAGGGCTGTTTGGAATCATATAATAGTGGACTGGGATTAAGGCCAGAATATAACCCATCCTGTAATTTATAAAGCAAGCCTTTGTTCTTCCAAATTAACACCCATTAGTTTCTTAGACATTCTGTCCAAAATAAAAGTAATTTTCCTACTTGATAAATTGTAGCCTTGAATAGAGGGAGTATTTCAGGCAACTTTTCTATAATAGACTTGGTTTTAAGTATATTTAATTTCTTCTGTGAGAGAGTGGTAGAAAGAGACAGAGGCCCTCTCAAAAGGGTCCTCACAGCCACCCTGGGTGGTACTCTCTCTCAGTCACCGTGATGAGACCAACACCTACTTGCAAATCTGTCTAGCTCCAGAGTCCAAGTTTTTAACCATTACACGTGACTGCCATCCAGCAGATGCTTTTCCCCACTGGATCAAAGGGATGCCATCTCTAGCCTTGAGGGACAGCTTTAAGGAGTGGCTCTACACAGCTCATTGATGAATTCACTGTCAGGATTTTCTTAGTGATTTTGGTCATTATATCCTACAGTGTCCTTTCTGTGAGAATTAGAGGAAGAATTTATTTCTGTGGCTTTAGCACCTGAAAGCACTGTGTTTTCCTTAGACAACTGGTTTGTTTTTTATATTGTTGACACCAGATTCACTCAACTGGGTGCGTTTTCCTCTCTGTATTGACTGCTGGAAAGCTTGGAGCCAGGGCAAGCTGGTGGCACAATAGTGACCAATGCTGGGAAGGCTCTGGGTTCACATCCTGAGGCCTCCCTGTATGCACCAAAGGTGTGCACAAATGCCCATGATCCTAGGTGCCTAAGGCTGAGGGAAGATTACACTGTGAAAACTGTACTGGGGGGTCTCTCTTTTTCTCTCTCTCTCTCTCTCAAAAAAAAAAAGTAACTATTTATATATCAAATATATGTTCCTCTTGTAATAAATATATGTAGTTTTTGTTTGGCAAGAATTTTCTGCATCAACCTCATTCCCAGTTTAACTACCCTTTTCTATCTTTGTTTTCCTTTGCTTCTAATGTATTATCATTAATTGTATCTTACTGTATTTTGTATATCTTTGTAAGTCACATTGAACAAGGTTGGGAATAAATGAACCGTAATACCACTCTTCCATGTACTACCAAATGTTTAGTGTAGAATGGAAACCATCCTGCCTCCTGTGGATTCTGAATTATGTGTAGCACCAGTATTGCTGTTCTTACTGGCCATCTTCCTTTTGAAGCAAAAAAACCATATGTTGGGTCATCAGAAAAGTCATGATGCGTTTTTCTATGCAAAAACGCATCATGACTTTTTGGACAACCCAATAAAAGGAGGATAGTAAGCACCAAAACCCTCTCAATTCCTGCTCACTGAATTACTCTCAGTGTATTTTTTTTTTTTTTTAATTTGTAAAGATGCCACTCTGCCGGCAAAGCCTTGTAGGAAAAAGGAAGATAGATACTGTTTCTAAATGAAACTAAAATGAACAAGGCAATCCTTAACTTGTTTTGGTACTAAAAGCCACAGGAGGTCACAGGGACATCCTCAGAGCCAATTTCTACCTTGTCAGGTACCCAATTCTAACACTGGTGATGCTCCTCCCTTTCCTTGTCAAATAGTATGACAAACACCCAGAGACCTCTGTCCTGATCCCTTTGGGAAAGTAAGGTAGTAATAGGAAGAGGATAAGGGAAAACTGAAGAAACATGAAGAAAACTCAGCTCCAGAGAAAGACTGTTCTAGAGATTCAAGGACAAACAAGAGAAAAGAAAAGCTAATCAATCAGAAAAGAGAAGGAAGCAAAAGTAAAGATGAAGAGAAACACAGCTGTGCTTTCTTCACTCACAGCATCTCCTTGGAATTGCAAAAGTTCAGGCCTGAGACTTCACCTTCAGAGTTATACAGGACCAGAACAAAACCTGCAAATAACCGCCCCTAAGTTACACTAGACTGGGAACCACCACTGAAAACTCTCCCAAGGTTTTGCTTTTTGATCTCAGGGAGCAAGGCTTCCTGCAAAGAACCAGACCCCTTCTCCTCATGCTGAGCGTTCATCTCAAACATTGCACTCATTACAGACAGTGGAATCCATCTGTTGGAACCCTGAAACCTTGCCAGCATTTCACCTCCTACACTCCTGAGTGTGGAGCAGTTTATATGTGATGCTGTACAGTGCATCCATTTTTGCCTTTGCAGCTGGCTGTAGCTGAAATGGGGAAGTTTAGCCTTCAATTATGAACCATTTGTATTCAGACACAGTAGTGTGTGAGAGGAGCCTTGCTTTGTTGTCTGAGCTTTTATTTCTGCCCTAAATCAACGGTGCATGGAAGGTTGGGTTATACCAGGTTCCTGATAAATATGAAGTCTCTGCAGTGAGGTTAAACCTGCAGTGCTCAAAATAAGAACCCACTGCACACTCTTCTTAGGAATCTTTCTCTTTCTGAATAAAATCAACCTTTCTTCATTAGCTGAGCACATTTCTAAAGAAGAGGAAATGGAAGTCCTGATAAACATCATTAAGTCCTGAAAGGATTAGCATAAACAGGATGCCAAGGAGGAGATTTAATATTATTTGGCTGAAATTTGAATTCTAATGTAGCACTCATACCCAGCCTCTCCTAATGGAACAAGAAGTTTGAAAAGCCTAATTATGCTGAGAAGACACAAGTGCTCTCTATCCTGCTGCCGCTTCATCACTTTGCCCATTGCCAACCTCAGACAAAATGAGTGATGCTCGGGGACCTATCCATTTAAATTATACCTTGAGTCCTTGTTTCTTCATAGCTGGGTTTTTAGATAGAAGACCAAAATAAAAAAAGGAAAGTGCAAGTAGACCAAAGGAACACTCATCACTCATCCTTTTATCTTCAGAAGAAGAGTAAGTAAGAGATCAGGGGCAAGAGAAATGCTTATAAAATGAATTTTGCACTGATAACCACCTTTTTAAGAGAATATTTGAGCTGTGCTTTTAAGGTAGATAAGAGCAGGACCAGCTGTGTAATTTTCAGGACCCTGTGCAAAATGAAAATGTAGGATTCCGTGTTTATAAGTTATTGAGAATTTCAAAGCAGTGACAGCACAGCATTAAACCAGGTTGGGGGCTCTATGGGAATACACTGGTCACATATCCACCAGTGACAGACAGAGACAAATGAAAGACATTTTGCTTTCCTTGAGTCTTGCCCACGGTAAAGCAGAGAGATGTGGGCTGCCGTCTATCAGATGCCCTTAGAAGCAATGTAATTTCTTCAGTTCAACATTTTTTTTTTTCACTTGGGAAGAAAGTCTTTGGTTAAAGTGCAGATTTTATCCCTGCTTTGGAAACTTTTTAAGGAAGAAATGATTATGGGCAATCATTTGTGCCACCATGCATTGTTGTGCAGAGGGACGGGTGGGAGGACCTCTCCTCTGAAAAGACCATCCACGTACTGTGTCTGGTGTTGTATACCGCCTCTCCCAGAAGCTGCATTCCCCAGTGGCTCAAACGGTGGGAATGTCATGATCTCACATAATAATAACAGAACTCAGGACATGGGTTCGACCCAGGGCTAGTTCATTCATCAGCTTCTTGATATCTTTGAGGCATGGGGTTCTGTCCCTCTTTCCTTTTGCCATCCTCAGCTAGTACATCTGGAATCTGGTCTGACTTGAGACCATGTTTTCTTTGTTAACTCTGAGAAAGAAATTTCCTTCTGTGCTTGCAACAAAAATCCACAGAACCCATAGATATTTCCCATATCCCCTGGAAGATACGGGTGGGGCGGGAAGGTTATTGTCAGAATCTGAAGCAGAACAAATAAATCCCTGACAACCCTCTGGACATCCTGTGAGATGTGAGTCAGAGCATGCAGCTCACAGCTCGCCACTGGAGAGCTCCAGACATGTCTAAAATAATTACAATAACAATATTTGCTGAAACAAGAAAGAAACTTGGAAACTGAACAATACAAAGAAAACATCACTGGGATGTGTGTGCACGCACATCCGTGTGTACCCAAAAGGAGCTCCCACAGACACAGTGGACAAAAGAGGAGCGTGCTCAGTGGTGTAAGCACAAATACTTCATTTTTTATTCTGCTTTATTTTTATAGATTCCAATCAATATTTCTTTACTGCCAAAAAAACAGAAATTCTTCTCCAGTGGAATTAAACTGACTCACAAAGGTAAATATTTGTGAGTCACACTTAAGGATTCACCTTCAGGGCATTTAGATTCTAAGATCTCCATGCAGCACAGCCCTGTAACGTGCAGTCCTGGGCCTCATTCCAGCATTAGAAAAGTCAAGGATATAAACAAATACAAGATGGATCTCACTTCGATCATTACTCATTTGGCATCTTGAATTTAGCTGTTGATAGTACATGCTTTCTTCCCGTGCACTTTGATGCAATTTGGAGTAGTTGCCAGATGAAGAAAGATAAATGTTTAGATTCTTCATGGAGACCCATCTAAGTACACCAAAAGCTTGCATTCTGTAGACATTCCAAACTTTACAAATAAGAAAAATAAAAATAAAATAATTAATGTTTTAAATGGCAATATGCTTGAAATTCTGATCTGTGGAATTAGGGTGATACGCCTTGGAATGCAAAGAAGTATTACTAAAGATTCTGTTTTCATGGCCACAGAAAGTAGCAGTGTATAATTGCTACTCCAGTCAACTGATGTGCACCAAAACCAAGTATTCTCTCGTTGCTTGGAAGTCTTCCCTCGTTGTTACTGCAATGTAAATAAATTTGAACTACTCTCCATGTGTAGCAACCATCAAGAGAGCCTCATCAGACACCTGAACTTGGGTCACATCGAGCCCTGCCTGGCACACAGAGCAGCTGGTGAAATGACCTATGTTCATGTGTTTCTCCAGGAATAGGAGAAGAGCAGCAGCTGAGTCTGAGTGGCCCTGACTACCTGTCTGACCTCTCAGGAACATTCCCAGCTTGCTTTGTAGAAGTGGAATCACATGTGAGCCACTGGAGAGTAAAAACAATAGAAAGTGAGGGCCAAAGGGCTGAGTTTTGAGAAACTTGATGCACTGCAGGCATTTAAAAGTAGCAGACATTATTCGCAGAGGGAAGTCCAGAGTGGTAAGGTTTTAACCTGTCCCACCACTGCAGGAATCTTCTTCATTCTTGCAGGACTCTGCTCTATCTCACTCACTCTCATTACGATCACTGTCTCCTTGGTGCCTTATCACTTTGTTTATTGAACAGGGAAGGAGTCTAAGCCCCAGGAAGAAAAGGGTATGATATGAGAGTATCTTGAAGTTTGAAAAAAGTCACCCAAGAACCACTCACTAGAGCTAAAAGTTACACACATAATCCCTAATCAGGAAGAGTAGTGTCAGGCATAAGAGAATCATACCTCAGGACTGCCAAGGATTCTGAAGAAAAAGCAAATAAGACCCTTACATCAAAGTGCATGCTTATGTTATTTTGTTTCATGAACATATTCCCCATTAACCTCTCCCCTAAAAGAGGTCCTATATAAGACTGCATATCTAGGACCCATTCACCATCCACGTTATTTCCACCAAAGCTTTCATTGACCAAACTTTCTTAAGACCCTCAAAAAAGGGTAAGTATTAGAGGGTAGGGCGGCTTTTCTTTTCTGCTCACTAGCAGCTCTAAATATGCCTAATATATAGTGAGTATTTATTTAACTACTACTTGTTGAATAAACGAATAAAATAACATCTACAGTGTGGTAAGACTTTGCGTTAATGGCTCAGCCACAGTAGTGCGTGTTGGTTAATGTTCTCCTCAGTAGACTGAGGCCAGACAAGAGGCCCAGGTTTTATTCTGAACCCACTTAAGGCTAGGTACGATAGTGTACACCTGTTGTCCCAATTACCCAGGAGGCTGAGGCAGAAGGATCACAACATAGCCAGAACCAACATTAAAAAAAAAAGACTTCAGCCAGCCACTGTACAGAGGTTACACAATGCTCTGCAACACTGGACCCACATGAGGAGTCTCAGATTAGTGCCCTGAGCCCTCTCTGCCTGTACCGGGCATGTGTGCCTGCCTACAATCCTGGCTGGCTAGGGCTGAGGGTGGATAGTGATGTGAAGACACTATATGGGCTGCCTCTCTGTCTCTCTCCCTCTCTCTCTCCCTCTGTCTCCTCTGTTTGGAGAAATAAACATTAAAAAAAAAAAAGGTTTACCAGGTCTCAAAGCACACTCACATGTATTTCTCATGTAGTCTCTGGAACAACCCTGTCTGGTGGGGCATTATTTTATAAGACAGGAAGGCAGAGTTCAACTACTGCTTAAAGTAGCTACACTTGGAGTTCAGAATTTACTAACTAGGATGCAGATGTGGCTCATCTAGGCCTCATGCCTACTCATCATACCCAGGCCATTTGCCTTAGGAAGAAGCTGTTGGAGAGGGTAGCTTAAGCCTGGCTAACATGTCCTTGTGGCTCATTTCAGGTCGGTCTTTTTCGCAAGTCAGGAGTGAAGTCTCGAATCCACGCCCTTCGTCAAATGAATGAGAACTTCCCTGAGAATGTCAGCTATGAAGACCAGTCTGCTTATGATGTGGCAGATATGGTGAAACAGTTCTTCCGAGACCTGCCTGAGCCTCTTTTCACCAACAAGCTCAGTGAGACCTTCCTCCACATCTATCAGTGTAAGTGGAAATAATGCTGATCAGTGTTGTTCTATGCATCTATCCATTCTTAAGAAAAAAATTTCTCAGAGCCAACAAGTGGCATGGTGGTTAAGACACTGGCTCCCATCTGGCTGACCACAGTTTGAGTCCCAGACCCAGAAGCTTGAAAATCATGCTGTTCACATGTGTGCATGTGACCAAAATCCTGAGAGGAGAAGGAAGAAGAAGGCATTGTGAAGTGGCCATCTCCTCTGGGGAAGGCGATTTTCACTTTCCCTCTCTTTGTCTCTCTCCTCCGTGGCGAGCACACAAACCCTGTGACAAAAACCTATAAAAAGAAACAAACAAAAAAAAGTTCTTGATAGATCAGATTTTAATTATATGATGACTAAGAAGGTTTTCAAAAAGTTTGTGGAAAAATGCATATTATGAGAAAACAATGCATGGATTAAAAAAAATTTTTTTTGCATCAAAATAAATTTGTTTAATCCACCCAATGGCATTGTGGTTGAGGTGGCTGGATCCCTCATGGCCAGTTGCACAATTTGAATTCTAGACCCCGTAGCTTAAGAGACACACTGAGCGTGAGTGTGCCCAGAGTCATGAGGGGAACAGGAGGTGGAGGAGACAGGATTGTTATAGGCCATCCCCCTGGAAGGGGGATGTATTTTTGCTTTCCTTCTCTCCCTGTTTGTGTGTGTGTGTGTGTGAGTGTGAGTGAGTGTCTGACAAATGCACATATGCTCTGGCAAAAAAAAAAAAAGCTTCATTCTTTAATTCCATTAAACTTTTGGGAATACTCTCATAGATGAATCCATAAACAAATATATGTAAGTTGTAATCCTATTCTCTTTTTCAGGAGTAGCCTTTATTCACAGTTCTAGATGGAAATATTCAGGCCATTTTTAGAGTATTTTAAAATACCTTTTGACATCAAAATATCCCTTCTCAATGGGGTTTTATATACAATCTAAAACTTTCAATAAACTTTGAACAAATTTCAAGTGAAAAAGGGATACAGTAGAATTTGTTATTTGTATAGATATTTATTAAACTATTCATTTTTTAAAGTAAGCCTTTGCTTGGGAATTCAAAGCTAAATGCATTTATGGTAGTCTGTTAGTGTTGCCATAACAAAAATATCTGAGACTGGGTAATTTATAAGGAAAAGTGGTTTATTTGACTTCTGATTCCGATGAGTGGAAAGTTCAAAAACATGGAGCCAACATCTGACCAGACTGTGGTGCTGTCACAACATGACCTGAGAAGCAGAGAGTGAGTGCGTGCAAAGGAAGAGACCTGTGGGCCCCCAGCTTGCTGTTGTAACAACCCAGGAACTATTTAGTAAGAACTCCAACCCTCTGAGAAGACTGCCTGAAGTATTCCTGAGGAATCCACCCACATGTCCCAAACCCCTCCCACTAGGCCCTACCCCCTCAACACTGTCCCATCAGTTGTCAAGTTATAGTATAAGTTTCAGCAGGTTCACAACACTCCAACTGTAACTGTATTAAAAAGAATAGAAATAATAAGCAAATGCTTTTTAACTGATGAAAAGTAAACAAACCAAATCAAGGCTTAAGCCTAATTCAATTAATTTATATTTTTCCCTTGGCATTTTTTTCACCTGCTATTAAATGGATAATTCTCAGCAAAGCCACTATAATTAAAATAATCCATTAAAAATAACAATTATTAATTAAAAAGCCTATCCTGCTAAAAGTACAGTAGTTGCAAAGGGTGATATTAAAAATGAACATATGATTCTTTTCTAGATACGATTTTTAATCACGCAAGTCCCAATTCATTAGAAAAAAAATTTGGTCTGTAGAATTTTGAGTTAATAGCAAAATACACCTAAAGTGGGCCTTGACATGGAACTGATCCAATTCAAAGAGGGTCCTCGCTATAGAGAATTCTGTACTAAAGTTGTTCAAGCAGCCTATAATATTGCAGACTCAAAAAGGATTGTAATCAATACCACTTGTGAAACAGGATAAAATGACAACCTACTAAATAAATATTATTTTGTCAAAGCAAATAGGTTAAGTTAAATTAATGATACACATTGCAAGAGCTTTAAACACAGGGAGTTCGTGACATTATTGCCAGACAGGTTGAATTGCATTTTTCAATTAAACCTCCCAAATGATTTGGATGAATCATATACGATTCTTTACATTTAATCAGCTCTTGAGTTAAGGTTGACACTAGTCTAAGGCTAAAGACAGATTATTTCCAACTGATAGATGCTTTGGGCCCTTTCTGAGACTCAAGAGCAAGAAACCAGATCAAAGCAGGGCTTTATTGGAGCTGAACAAACATTTACTGAGTGCAGTATGCACAGGGCACCATGCTGAGAGCTGCAGAGCATATGAATGGGCAAGACTCACTCTTGGCTCCTAAGAATCTTACAACTGAGAGAGACATGAACATAAATAACTGCAATACAGTAATTCTGAAGAAGTTTCATAAAAAGGTTATAAAGAAAAGTCTGAGGAGGTTGAGAAAAGAATAAGGACTTGATGGAGAAAGTGAATGTTCAGATATATCGGGAACGCATTCTGGGTGAAGCAAGTAGCATGAGCATCTGTCAGGAGATTATGGGGTATTCGTCTGGCTTACATGTAGGATAAATGTGTAATCTGATACCAAATGGCAGTGAAGACTTAGGGTGCTGACACAGCAACACCCATACAAGGCAGTACGCTAAAGAGTAGGGTAAGGAGTTTTATTGATTCATCAGCATTCGGAAACTTTCATGTATCATTGAGAGACCACCTGTAAAGACAGAACCAAAGATCCAATAAACAATTGTTTAAACAATAACAACATCTTAGTATCTGAATAACAGAAAATCTGAAATTACAGTTCCAGAGTTGGATAACTCACCAGCTCAGTGATGCTAGGACTAAAGTCATCCTCTTTTGGCTTTCCCCATCAGGTGACAATATGATTGTCGCAAATTTTAATGATTACATCTTCACAAAATCACATTCAAAGGCAAAAAGAGAAAAGTGCTTCACCTTGAGCAGATATCTCTTTTTATTGAGGACATAAAGCTTGCAGAAGTCTCTAGAAAAAAATTAATTTTGGGACCAACAGTTGGTGTAATGGCTATGTTGCTGGACTTCCACGTAGTTGACCTCAGTTAGAGTACCGGACCCAGTGGCTTAAACTCATGCCAGATGTGTGTGCGTGCGTGCCCAAGATCCCGAGAGGAGAATAGAGGAGAAGGGATTGCGGCATGGCCATCCCCGCTGGGGGGTGATTTCTCGCTTTTTGTTTCTCTGTCTCTCTCTCTGTCTTTCTGGTGAGCGCACGTGCCCTATAGCAAAAGCCTCTCAAAAAAATAAAATTAATTGATCCCGATAGCTGGATATGGCTTACATCTTCTCCCCCAAACCAATCACTAGGAAGATAAATGGGATTACTACTTTGAGTTTAATCCAACATGCTCCATCCCTGGGTCTGAAGGAGAGACCCATTGCTCAAGTGCACTGCAGCCCACACCTGAACAGAACATGTGTTTTCTTCATGAGGAAGAAAGGGACAATAGGTATTAAGTAGATAGCCAACCTTGTGTCTGCCAAAAGGACAAAAGTCCATCAGAGCTGGTGTACAGGAGGTATTGGGCTGGATAAGAATGGAGGGTTAGGGTGCTGGAACAATAATTGAGACTCTGGATTACCTGTAGTGACTTCCAGTGGTGAGACTGGGAATAAGTTATTCCCTGGGTAGACTCCAAAGTTTCCAAAGTACTACTGGGGAAAGAGAAGCAGTTCTTCCTCCAGTTCTCCAGAGCAGTTCTATTTTCAGCTATGTCACTTCCTGGGCTTTCATCAAATGTTTAGCTAAAATAGAATGTTGAATAGGTAATGAAAATATTTGAATCTTACCAATCTGCAGAAAGGAGAAGGATGGATGGATCGAAGACAGCTCTAATACTTTGATGTGAACAGTTAAGGGAGGAAGGGGAGCTGAATTGGAGGCAGAGAGGAGAAAGATGTTCAGAATTGGCTGAGTTTGAAGTGCCAACAGCCTTCCACATGATTACACATTATCAGCACTTAAACATTCAGATCTAGAATAGTCTTCTGAGACCCCCAAAAGAGTGTAGGAACCATAGGAGCGTCATGTGTAACACAAAGATCAAAGAGGATAGGATTTTAAATGAATGTTAAATTTAGGGATTTATTGTAGACCTTCTCAAGAATTTTTAATAGAAAATAATGGACATAAAATATTTACTGATGGATAAAGAAACAAGTGAGTAGAAAAGAAATTGAGAAAATATATAGAGATGACAAATAACTCTTCAAAAATTTTGGAATAAAAAAAAAATACCAGCATGTAAGAGAAGTTTAGTAATCTAAAGTTACTCAGTGCATATATCCTAGACATCTTACCTATAGTAGCATATTTAAAAGCAGTTCAATGGCGCCAGCTAAATTTATCACACCTCTCACAAGATAATCATTAGTAGTATCTATTTCTTTTTCAACACAAGCAAGACAAATACAGTGTTTTTACTATAATTTGAACAAAATGGCTCTTTTTTATAAACTGCAGCTATCTACAATGGATGTGGTAGATGGGTATCAGAATACTAAGCACATGGTCAAGCTTCTTTAGAAATTAGGATTTGTGGCTAAGTCCAGGAATGGGACATAATGGCCAATTCTAGGACATAAGGTCCTCCTACATGATGGAGAACATCACGACGAGAGAGCCCAACACCAACAGCCCATAGAACCACACATCCTTTGATCAGCCAGGACCACAGCAGAAAGTCACACTTCAGCCTGTCTAGAGGAGCAAGCTCCAAATTCTTTTAATCATTCACCCTACCAGTTGTAAATATCTGAGTGTGTATATATTTTTAATAATATCAATATACTGTGATGTATTGTGCACATTATAGGCAGTATTTTTAATGGATGAGAGAAAACATAAACACAAATGGAAGTATTAATATTTTCTTCCCAAACCTCAAAGGATTGTTACAAAGCACATTCCCTCAGTCCTTGGGAATACAGACACCTACTGTGGGTACTTCTGCTCTATAAAGTGGCATTTGAAGAGACAGTAATATTAGCCAAAGGGAGCTTCTGTCTGCCTTTCAGAGCAAGAAGACTAAGGGTAGTGAATCAAATGTAATGATTATTAAATAAACACAGCCAGGGGGCAGCAAAATGCAGCACCTACCACTCACTCACTGAATTTTCCATGTAGTTCACTTCATATCATTGAAGCCAATTCCCTTTTAAACTATAAAATTGGTGCCCACCATCCTCACCACCAGGGCCACACTGAAGAGGAATGGGACCAGAAAGGGCCATACATTCCTGATAATCTTAGGAAGCCTAATTCCTCTTCCTCAAACATAATCTCAATTTTCAGTAACTCCTAAAATTATGGAACAGGTGACATTGAACCTCCATATAAGGTCAATTGAATGCATCTTCCAAACCAAGCTCTTGGTGACTTACTAGGAGGAGGAAAATGTCCATGTTTACCCTAGAGAAGTGAGTTCAGAGTGCCAGCCAGCTCGACCCAACACGCATGCTTAACTGGGCCAAGCTGGCTTCATAACTGGCTACTCCATAGGAGTGAGGAAAAGTGAGGCCGTTGTTCCCTAACCAGTGGTTTTTAAGCCTTGTCCCACACATGTTGGTTTGGAGATTACATGTCTCACAAAGCTCTGAAAGGTGCTTCCCAAGCTGCCTGGTGTGAAGAGTGGGCAAGAGAAAAGCCAAGTTGTCAGAGCCCCAGTCAATTGCCAACTTTAACCAGAACAGCAAAATGATCTGAAAATAGATGAGCAGACTGATTGCTCAAAGAGAATGAAAAACTAAGATAGCACTATTGCTTTCTAAGTTCTACTTACTTGTTTAGACTGGATTCTGGATTTTAATTGCTAGGGTTCAAAATTACTTCTGCCTCTTACCAGCTATGATACCTAAGCCAGTAGTTCTTGGGGCCAGATAGTAATGCAAATAGCCCCACATGGAAAAGGTCATGGGTTCATATCCTGGAATGTATCCTAGGTTTGTATCCTGAGCACACCAGATGATCCTGGGTGGGTTTCAACATGAAGACCATCTTAAAGATGCTTGTCCCTGCCTCTTTCTCTGATAAAGTAAATAATAAGCTTAAAAATTTTTGAACAAAAAATACTGATAAAAAAAACCTTTATTTAAAGAGCAATTACTTCTTTGTGCCATTAGCTATTATTGTTTATGATGATGATGTCTCTGAGAGTGTGTTCACATCAGAAAGGTTAAGCTTAAATACTGTCCAAGCTGGCTCTTTCTGCAGCTGTTCCTCTGATGACCTGGTACCATCCATTTTTCCACAGATGTCCCCAAAGAGCAGCGGCTGCAGGCTGTGCAGGCTGCCATCCTGCTACTGGCTGATGAGAACAGGGAGGTCCTGCAGACACTCTTGTGCTTTCTGAATGATGTTGTCAATGTAGTGGAAGAGAATCAGATGACACCCATGAACTTGGCTGTGTGTCTGGCCCCTTCGCTTTTTCATCTTAACTTACTGAAGAAAGAAAGTTCTCCAAGGTGGGTTTTTCTCAGCAACAGCAGTCATCCCAAACCAGATGTTGTCCAAAAAAAAAAAAAAAAGACTTTTCTTATGCTATATTTTAACTTGGGATTTGTCAGCTTTCATTTTATAATCAGAACATGCTCCAGAGCAGGATAGTGGAATGCATGGAGCTCAGGTTCATAGGATTTTCAAAGTAGCATGGAAAAATGTTGATGGCGATCCAAAAAGCCTGAGGACTTTTGTTTTGTTTTGTTTTGTTTGTGTGAGTAGGAAGGAGGGAAAAAGTACACAAAGTAATATTTCACAATCTTTACCAAAAAAGGCTATTTTTAAGACCAAAGCACAGGAGCTTATAGTTCAGTTGATTAAAAAAAAAAAAAAAAGACTTTTCTTATGCTATATTTTAACTTGGGATTTGTCAGCTTTCATTTTATAATCAGAACATGCTCCAGAGCAGGATAGTGGAATGCATGGAGCTCAGGTTCATAGGATTTTCAAAGTAGCATGGAAAAATGTTGATGGCGATCCAAAAAGCCTGAGGACTTTTGTTTTGTTTTGTTTTGTTTGTGTGAGTAGGAAGGAGGGAAAAAGTACACAAAGTAATATTTCACAATCTTTACCAAAAAAGGCTATTTTTAAGACCAAAGCACAGGAGCTTATAGTTAAGTGGTTTCAAACCTTGGGAAAATGGATTAATTTCTCCCCCCACAGTTCTTTCTGCCCTTGTATTTTTCCAAGGCTTTTTTGTTGTGAACTGTCAGATTAGATTGTTAGCCTGACTTGGAATATCTAAGAGGTGTGGTCATTGTTTTAATTTGGAAACAAGAGAGCCTGGGATCTGGATAACATCTGGGTATGGACAGAAAACAAAAGGGATGAGCTTGATATTATGAAAAGCGCTTTACTTTGGGATCTGCTTAGCACACACCACATCTAATTACAGAGTCATACAGAAGAAATATGCCACTGGGAAGCCAGATCAAAAGGACCTCAACGAGAATCTGGCTGCTGCTCAGGGGCTTGCCCACATGATCATGGAATGCAACAGACTTTTTGAGGTGAGTGAAAGGCTCTATCTAACCACCTTCCTTATAGTTCTTGGAACCAGATAAGACACATGGAATGTTTGCCACATTGATAGTTTATGTCTATTTGTTCCTGATTTTATAATGACAGTGATACACTCTATGGCTCTGGTCTTTGCTTCTGAGAAGCACAAAGAGCTGTCTATACAATCAAGGCTTTGCTAGTTAAAGACACTTGAGGTTACCATGATGATGGTTTTCAGGCAAGCAGTTGCATCATCTTCCATTGTCAAATTGGCCAGTCAGCCAATTGTGTTGTATTTGATTTTACCTTGGGACTCAGTTCAGAGTGTGTGTGTGTGTGTGTGTGTGTGTGTGTGTGTGTGTGATATTGAGTAATCCTTGTTACTAAGAATCCATGACAGTTTATGAATATAATCACAGATGTGTTAAGGAAGTATGTGAATGAGACTCCTGGCATTCTTTTTGTGGTGAACTAGGCATTTGTAAATGGAAAACTGCTGAAAAGCTAACGCTATTTCTAATCCATATTTGGTGCTTCCCTTAGCAAGTCTGTTTTAAGTCTATTCACAGGGGCGAAGTTCTCTGAGCATATATTTTTGCCAAACTGAATGAAAGCACATTAAAAGAAAAATGGGAAAAATACATGGGAAGTCATTGGAATGTTTTGAATAATAAATATAGCCTTAGAAACATATTTGTATTTTCTGACTTCAGCAAGGCCCTTCTCAGCCTTAGCACTGATCTTAGAAATACGTCTGCATCCTTCAGCCCATTGCTCAGACCTTGGTTGTTGGTGAAATGACTGCTTTCTCTGTTAGTCTTGGCATTTATTTAGCTCTCTGTGTTGCTCTTCTGTGCATCCCCTGGTTCAGGTTCCACATGAGATGGTGACCCAGTCTCCTAACTCATATGTAGAGGCTGAGATCCATGCACCAACTCTGGAAGACTTGGGGACACAGCTGGAAGACAGTGGGGCCACTTTCCATACCTACCTGGAGCATCTTGTCCAGGGCCTCCAGAAAGAAGCCAAGGAGAAGTTCAAAGGATGGGTCACGTGCTCCAGCACTGACAACACAGACCTTGCTTTCAAAAAGGTAATCCCAGTGCCAGCAGGCGATGTGGTGGTTAAGGTACTGGACCTCTACATGGTCAACCATGATTTGAATCCTGTACCTGGTGGCTTGTTTTCTCACTTTCCCTTTCTCTCTCTCTAAAATAATAATAGTAATAAATAATAAATAAAATAATAATAAAATAAAATAAATGATTCTTTAAAAAAAAAGTAACCCCCAAAATTAGAAAAAACTATCCCCCAAAAGCCCCATCTAACAACCAGGGATTTGTTCTTGCTTTTAATGGCTGCTGTGTCCAGAGGATTTGGCACACACATGAACCATGAAGGCAACACATACCATTCAGAGACCAATCTAGAGACTACTAAACAGTTCTCTTGCACAGAATCAGAGTGCAGACTGTGGAGCCAGATGCCTGGTTCTGGTGCTGTCTCTGCTCCTTAGATGTGCAACAGTGGACAAAAGTCACTTGCCACTGTGTGCCTCAGTTTTCTCATTTGCAAAATGGACGTTGTAAGAGTGCCACTGTCGGAGGAGGGCTTTGTAAAAATCAAATGGTTTGGAATGGTCCCTGGCACACAATACATTGTGGGTGTTGGTGATTATTATTTTTATTATCATTATTATTACTCTTTTAAGCTCAAGGACTAAAAGTTTTAGATTTTAAATCTGAGGTAGGCAGCATCATTCTTTCAATCTACATGCTCTGTGATGATTTTTGTATGCCCAGCAACGTAAGGTAGGTTTTTATTGGACCTAGGTAACCTCTTCAGTGTTGGATGGTGTTTTTCCCCAGGTGGGAGACGGGAACCCCCTGAAGCTATGGAAGGCTTCCGTAGAAGTAGAGGCACCTCCTTCGGTGGTGCTGAAGCGCG